AAGCAAGTTAGAGGAATGAAAGGTAGGTTACGTGAAAAACTGCAAACGAGCAGAGTGGTTTCATAGAGCCAAAGAAGTATCTCGTCATTATCATGCGCTTGCTTTAATTCACCTCCTTTTCTTTAAAAGTAGTATATGCTCCCGAGACATGCCAGTGTAGCAGCTACGATGACACTTTAGCCACCCTGACGGAGAACCCTGTGCACATTTATCACCATTCCTGAAGAGCATTTTGCGTGAAGTTTTGAAAAAAAAACCATCGATACTGATTTCATCAATTAGTACAATCTTGACGCTGATTTTGAAACACAGTTTTCGTTTAACGTTAATATTTCAATGCGTAGTGACCATATATAGGTGCGTCCCTCAAAAAACTTGTTATCAGTCTGGCCTTTTTGAAAAAGCCCACCTGAACAACGTGCTATAAATTGCAATAGGCGAGAAAATATTTCGAGTACTATTAGGCAAAGTGACAAAACTTTATTCTGTGTGAAACGAAGTGTTTGAGACCCCTGCTCTAAACTGTATCTCACAGTCGGAACGAATAGCGAATGAGCACACTAGACGTACTAGGACCGATAATTGACGCAAGTTTTCGGAGGCGTGATTTTTCGGTCGTTTTCACTGCAGCATGGAAATACGTGTCCACCTGATTACTTAATAAAAGTGCGCTTCGACTCGTAACCTACGAGGATCAATACAACGATATTATTATTACAACGTTCCTGAGAGTAGCAATACAACGGTTCTGCAGAACATAAAACACGCTCTTGCCACTAAGTGTTACGTAGAGAAGTTCGAAATTAAACGGGGAATCATTATGAAGGAAAGGAATTGGTGCTGTTTGCAAGCGGTGATTTCTACTAATAGAGCGTTAACCACCGCTAACAATAAATTCGTCTTCAAGGCTGACACGTGGCAGACGTCTTGAGTATGGGGGCACTAAGCATCGAGCATTGGTGTTGATATTGCATATATGTGCTTTATCAGGGTAACGATAGCTAGAGGTTGACTAGGAAGGAAAAAGAGCCCTCGTTCTTCTTCCTGTCACTACGTTTCTGAACTCCTCAGTGCGCAAAAACGAAAAACATCAGTTATAATTAACCGTCGAATTCAGCAGCTCAGCTTTATCTAAGTCACTTATGAAATCCTTTAATTGCTTGACATTAATATTTCCTTGCCTATGAGCTTCAAGCATGAGCAATCGCGATTTCATTTTTGCTTGTGTACTCGCAAAACTTCCAGCACCCAAAATATTAGATACGCTCTTAACTTAACAGCGTATATATGATATTTTAGGATATAGGAAGAAAGGAGATAGTGGAACATTACCACCATTCTTGCTATGATCGTAAAACGTAACTATACAATGGTCACTCTTTGCGCCAACAAACTTGCTCTATACCATTATCAGTGCGGGGATCGCAACAACCACTTGGCAGTATTTACTCGACGTTCCTACAAATTTATTCGCGTCATAAAAATAGCTTATAAAATGTCAGCCTGGCTTCACTGACTTAACAACGCGAATGCTGATGAAACAGGGAAGCGTTCGCCATCGCTTCGTCTTGCTTTGTCTTAAGCTCAGGTTGCGATGCTAAGCGTTCACGTTTAACGTCAGCTTCTTTTACGGGAAGCTCTGGATTTTTCTGCCATTCGCTTGCGCTTGACTTCGCCATTTACAGCACGGGAGCGCATCGCCTGTGCTTGAACGGGAATGACGTCACCATTGCGGGTCATGCGTCAATTCCTATTGATTCTCCCGACAGGCCGCTTCTTGAGGTGAGCGAATGACTTTAGCCATAGCAGAACATTCGAGAGAGACCGCTGAACTCCCGTATCAGATACGCGTACCTCCTGCCGGCGCATTTCGAGTGTTTTTGTTGCATAGTACACGGTGTTCGGGACGCTGAGGCTAACTACAGGCAGCGTCTCCATTTTTAGATGGTCGGAGATGAACAGTGGTGCTTTCCATGTTTATGTGGCCCGTACCGGCTAGGAGCTACGAAGCGCATTACGCCGATAGTCCCGGGAAAACGTCGACCAAAGCTTCGCAGGTAAAATTCAATTACATCAGGTAAAGTCATCATTTTCACTCTTCGAATGGAGCGGTATTTATTCTCTGATTCTCTGAAGTTTTCTTCGGCACAGTTCAACCCCATTATGAGAGACATGCTCCGGGAAACAGTCTTTGTCTATTTAATGAGTTGTCTACGTATACATTTTCTAAACAACCCTTACTTTAATGTAGGCACATTGGTGTCTCTTATACCAATTTATCTAATACATAGGTGTCCTTCATAAAGGGATTAGACCAGTGCTAATATGTAAGTACTTTCAGCGCTCTGAGTGTCATAATTAAGGGATACACAGCGTGAGACTGAAATTATGCTGTTCTATGGTAATATGTGTCAATCGTTTTTCCAAAGTGGTAAAAATCATGCGCCATTTCAGTTACGCCGGATGTGACCTGACAATGTCTGGTAAATAAGTAGAAGGCGGAAAATAATAACTGGCCTTTTGAAGTTACAGAGGAGTAGTTTCATTACTTGATATTTCTGAGGCCTGCTCAGGCAGTAGCATGGAGTATATTTCTAGCAATCGCACGAACAGTGATAGTGACGGTGACACATGGACATTAGTGAGGTTGCAACTGGCTTGCTACCTTGCATTAACTGAGAGTAGTCTGGCGGAACTAAATTGACTATGGAAGATCGACACCTGGAGGGAGTAGGGTAGCTTGATCACAATCAGCGTAGGGTGGGGTAACATGGTACAAAAATTTGAAAACTAGTGAATATTGTTTTTTTTTTAATTTCTCTGTTTGCCATTAAATGCCAATGCAGAAACGTTCCTTGGGGTACAACGTATGTGCTGTATAAGTATGACCATGTTACCACAGTTGAAAGGGATGTTTTAAATATAACTGAAAAAATCACCAGATGTTTCATTTTGGCCCCAACCTGTGGGGGAACTGAGACACAGCGTGAGGCACAACGAGACTGTGTGAAAAAATTTATTCCTTAAAATTTGGCAGTAGAAGCACCTAAAAATCGTCCCATGCCCCCCCCCCCCCCCTCAATCTTCATGCGCCAACTCTTAGCACTCCACGCAGCAAATACAGGCAGAACCCGGCGCTGTGGTGCTATAAAACTTTTAGCAGATCAAGCACCCCCATTCTTTCTTCGTGCTAAAAGTGTATTTTGTTTAACGCGTGCACCTTATCAGATTATTCAATGATTAGTGGCTAGATATGCTCTCATGCATCTTTTTCGCCACTTCTTGCCGTTTTGATGCAGAACTGCACGGGCATTTTGTGGCTTTCAACTTAGTAAGCCAGGCTTTGCGAGGATTTCGGATTTCGTATCACTTGTCATTATTCAATGCGAAGCACTTCTTCGCAAACTTCCGCGATTCGAGCGTATCTGTTGATCTATCTAGCCGCTGACGTTTAGGTACTTTCCGTGGCCAGCCCCTTATCATGGCATGAACCATAATTATCATGGGAGGGTAATATGGTTTGAAAATTAAGACATGCCTGTCAAGATACGAGTAATGTGACAATCCCGTCACGAACATCGTCAAACACTCCCCGTCAGACAGTGGCACATGCCCACGGGCGAGTATGTGCCGCTGGTATGCGTGTAAGTGCCACAGGTTGTTAACACTTATATAGCCAGGAACGACGAGAACACACAGGGGATATTTAACGCGTGAGCGTTATGAAATACCAGACATCAGTAGCGTCGCCCCGACGAGTGCTTTTGTTGCTTTTGCAATGTATGCGTTCCAGCTGGAATCGAACCCAAGCATTCTGCATGGCAATGAAGCATTTTACCCACGGCTACACCTGGTATCAAAACTACCTTTCAAGTAGACGCTAATCTTCGTGAAACGTTAATAGTGGTTTTGGTGCTGCCCACCCAATTTTATAAACGTTACATTTGTAATCCTTTGATACAGCTGTCTCGTCGAATTAATGCCAATCGTTATTAGTTGCCATGCACTGAAGCTGATTTATGTAGCAGTGGCTAGGTCCAGTATCCTCGTGAGCATCAGCCGATGATGTCAGCTTCTGGTGTTGCTAATTCGCATGTTACAGTTGGCATCGTTGCGCAAGTGCAAACAATTGGTTATGTAAACATCTGCAACTCTTCAACATCTGTCTGTGCGTGCAAAAATTTGTACATATATTTTGCGTCACTTTATGACGTGTCACTCAATAAAAAATTTGCAACACGGTCACCTTCCCTCCGCATGCTTCGCATAATGTCGATTCCTAGGTACGTCGGAGCTGCCAAATTTTTTGTTGTTTTTGTGCATGAAGCTCTACATAATATTTTATTTTATGTTCTGTCCCTCCTAAACAAAAAATATAATACATATTCATTATTATTATACTATAATATAATACATAATACCTCTCTAAGGAATCTTGATGCCCTTTTGTTACGTTTTCCCCACCCGCATGACCAAATTAAAAAAAAAAAGTCTGCTTTGGCATCTTGTACCAAATGAAGCGAACTTTTGGTAGTAAGTAAATGTAGTATAAAGTAACAAAATAAATACGTAAGTTGTACTGACGTTGTGGTAGCTTCATGCACGGATCCAGAAATTTGGCTGAGCAGAATTTCGCCCCTTTCTGACGGGTCACGAACATGCCGGCACCCATCACGTAATTTTTCCTACGCGAGCGCTGTGAGCAATGCCAAACTTTTACACATAAAACGATAGACAGCTACCGGCACCTATCACTGAAATAGAGAAAGAAAGAAAAGTACTTTTTTTCTATAAGCGACAGAAGCCGGCAAAGTCAAAATGTCACCTCTTGCCCCATGATGCATTTCACCCCACCCTACTTTACGTGGTGTACCAGGCTCTCTGGCCCTGGCGAAGTATGCACACATGACACTATATATTTGCGGCATGGTTTAGGAAACCTTTATTCGTACATTGTTCTTGCGTCTTCGAAAGAGCTATAGTCACACGGGTTTCACCATCGGTGCGCTGTGAACACTCGCTGTGCATGAATAAAAGGAGCAAAGGGGACACACAACAGGAACAGAGTATATTTCGTCGCCCTCTCTCCCATCATCTCTCTTGTCTTTCGCGTCATTTTTACGGAAAACATAAGTACAAGCCCAAACGTCACCAACAACACGTGACTTGCACAGGTATTCATAGGCATGGATACACGGCGTTTCACCCCATCGGCAGTCACCACTTAACGGTAGCGCGCCCCGATTGAGCGCGGGTTTCCCCGTTCCCGTGAATCGAACTGATGCAGGTGCTCGCGAATGTGTGGTTCGTTTTAACACACGCTTCGAGAAAACAAACAAGCAAATAAAAATGAACGCGCTATTAGGACTTGCTTTCTTAACGCTAAATGTGCATCCATCTGCCGGTCATGCCAGCAGAAACACCAACAGTCATATATGATTCCGCTGATCTTAGTCGCAGTGTAGCTTTGGTCGCCCGCTTTGAATACACCGCGTTTCCAGCGCCGCAAAAATGGTTGAATGGGGCGAGCCAATGGCAACCCTCCAAAAACGGTGGAGCATGCGGATTGGTTCACTCGAGCAATGACCTTACCACTATATTACAGGGAGGGTTTGGAACAACTTAATGCGCAAACATCGGCTCTCTTTGCGTGAGAATGGCATCAATTTCGAGCAAAGTCACCTAAGCTACCGATACCGGACAAGTCTAGGCACTAGCGCCTCTGCTAGTTTCTGTAATTTGCGTGATTCTACGTCGATGTTGAGCGAGGCGATGAGCGTATAAACGCTGATTTCGACACAACGCGGCCTTTGGACATGTCGGCTCACTTGACGTGGACGCTGAGCTCAGATGATCACGAAAAAAAAACTGTCCGTGGGCGTAGACTATTGACGCGTTGAATTTAACATATTCTTCTAATACAAATTGTAGTAGCGTTCGTGATGCGTAGACTCCGTAATTGGATCACTTTTATTAGGAAATATAAAGGAGGCCAAAAAATACGTAAAGTTACTTTCTTTCGGTCTTTTGTCCAGTTATTTTGGCCAGATTCGTGGCTACCATACTGCAGAACGATCGCGTCAAGCTCTACGACAAATCATTCAAAACATTATGTAGTTTATATCATAGCAGCTGCTGTAATTGAACTAACCATAGACTGAGGAGGCTACTAGACTCCTTCGCTGCTGTGGAAAAAAAAAATAAAGCAAAACAGCCTAGCCTAACCAAGTAACAGTCCCTGAGGTCTGAAGAAATCTCAGATCTTCGCATGCGCTATGCGGCTCTCAACTTCATTTCGTAAGTATCGTCGAGCACAGATCAAACCAACACAAGTGAGAGATGAAATACTAATGGTTGATCATCTAAAAACGAACCATTTCTGGACTCTGGATTCATGGTTCAGAAAAGAACCCCGGTTATGATTGTCGTGCTTAAAAAATGGGGAATTTTTTTCATTCGTACAGTGCTCGGACACCACCAAACGTAATTTCCAGCTCTGTCGGTGTTTGAAGTTATTGTTTCCGTGGGAATAATCTTGTGTTCTATTTGGCTTCTATGGTTTCGCAATCAAACTTCCTTCACGTTGTGTAAATTAGCAGTTTTGGTCGTCATTTAGTAGTGTTATCCGGCGGGTCAGATGAGCGTCATGCGATGTTTGATGTCAACCTCTCATACATCCGAGGATTGAGTGTCGTTCATTCATTTATGCTGTTTCGCCGTCATCGTTATGCTCGCAATGTAACAAAAAAATGCACTAAAGAGCATTAGCCACACGATTGGAAGGTGTAGTCATGCTGAAGAGAACTCATCTTTCAGGCAAAATGATTAGAAGTAACGAAGCAAAAGTAAACATAAAACCTACAAACATTTAGGACAGGAAGTACAGCGTTTGGCGGTTAGATTCACAATCTTTCATAACTTTCTATAGAACTGGTTTAGGCTAGCTGGTAGAAAGGCATCGTTTAGCTATTTGGGCAAAGTTTAAAGCCACGGAACAGGAATTTTAATAACATCACTCTATTTATGTGTCTGTTAATGTCATTCATGTCCTACGCTCTTAAGCAATGCACAAATGACTGCACCTTTCCAGGAATTTAGTGTTCACGTCAACAGCGCGAGGGGTTCATTGAGAGGTGCACTATTTTGTAAGCTAGCCTATCACACGGTATTACTTCCAAAACCTTGCGAAGAAACATACGTGAGTTGTTTATGTCACATGACTTTTAGAGCAGTGAGGCATCACATGTGATCATGCTCAAAACAAAGACAATTCGCCTTACTTTCTTTGTTCTTGGGCTCAGTTTGAGCGAACGGGCCTTCTTTCTCTCGAGGCTAACATCTTGCCATCATGTTTTCTTTGCCCTATTTGAGCTGTTGAAGACCTTACTGCGTGTACATAGATCAACGTACAAGTAATCTATTCAAAATGTAGACAAATTGGATATTTTAAGCATCTATTCTGATATCGTGCCTTCAAGATACCTTGAAACATCTTGTCGGCACTTTTTTTAAAACGTTGAAGCATTTTTTTACTGTATGCCTAAAAATGACAAAGAACATAGGCACATTCAATAGCGACAGAACGAGCAGCCGAAGTAGTGAATTGTTTTTGTCGATACATGGCTCATATAGTGCATACGAAAAATTTTCGTTCTGCATTTTCACCTTTGTCAAAAACGCCTATAACGAGTGAAAAACAGGCTACCTTGGCATGAATTGGCACTCCGTGTTCATCAGTTTACGGCAAGATAATTTGGGGCTTTCTGACCATCCCTGTTGTATGTGCCTAAAGGACACCGTACACCATCACCCCAAGTTATCAGTTTGCTTACATAGCAAACTGAAGATGCTATCAATTAAGCGAGTTGAGCATGCAAAACATTGACAAAACTTTCATGAAAATTTCCCAAGTTCTGTTTCTGAATCGAATCTTAGTATGAGCTTAAATGGGCACTGATCGCTCTGCGAACGAGTACATGTATGTTTAACTGCGCAGGGTTGTTGTAAATAGTCTGTCTTCTGAAGCTGACGAAAAGGAAACAGACAACAAAACACCCCAAAAAAAGCAGGATTATTTACATTCTCTTCGAACAAACGAGGTCACAAGACGTAAGCCTAGTAACTTAAGCGCAAAAGGAACTTCGAGACGTTGCTTAGAACGATGTCGCAGGCATTGTATTTTTTTTCCTTCTCCGGTTTCTTCCCGGTGCAGTTGCGCCTCAGGACGTGTACATTGTCCATCTCGAGCAGTTGTCCATCTTCCCTCTGTCATAGGCCTGCAATGAGAGGGCCAAAAAACAAGGCACCTTGTTTAGGGACACACACACGGCGCGGCCTTTCCCAGTAAACCGCCGTCGAAAAAATGGCTCACTATAACGCAACTAAAAAACATGACTATAAGCGCAGGCCTCCGAACGGCCGTAGGGCCATGGTCTTCCTATAAAGGCGTGGGCGTGGCCAGAGACTGTGTACGGACCCCTCTTCGAGGCTGTCTGATAGTGTTCCTCAGAATAAAAAAAAACTTTATTTCGCATTCACCTAGCGCATCAGTGGATACCCGAATATACTAATATATATGATAATGACAGCGCAGATAGAGGCCGCCTGATTTGTACATGGCTGTGAGCATACCCATCCACACCTTTCTCAAGAATCGACGCAGCTACAAGGCCTCGTTCGCTGACGCATGACCTCGCATTCCCATAGTGGAACTTGGTGGAATTCATAAACGCTCGTCTACATAACTTCGATCCAGATCTCAAGCTTTGTCTTCCATCGGGAATATTGCGAGCTAAGGAGACAGTTCCTTGCCGCATGCTACGTTGCGGGGCCATCACAAATGCGTCATATTTTTTTTTATTAGGGGCGAAGCTCCTTAGGGCGTGGGCTGTGCGTCCCCTGTAGCCGGTATGTAGCCACCTCTAGTTTAGTTCTTGCAGTGTTCACTAGATGGCGGTGCCGTCCCCTGTATGTAGCCACCTCTAGTTTAGTTCTTGCAGTGTTCACTAGATGGCGGTACCGTCTCCTGTATGTAGCCACCTCTCGTTCAGTTCTTGTAGTGTTTACTAGATGGTGGTACTTGTAGCTGATGATGAAAAGATGCAAGATGTTATAAACTAGAAAGCGGTACTTGTAGTTGATGAAAGACGCGAGATCTTATAAAATAGGAATGATGTCACATATGGCGCGTGTCATTGGTTGAAGGCAATCGTTCGATTTAGTGCGGCGACGTACGCTAGGGGGAGCGTTGTAATAAAATCCGTTCGCTGTTGGCGCGCGCTCGGAGTCGCCGGATGGATAAGGCTGCACAGCGGAGAGAGCGCAAGGCGGCAGCAGCGCGCGCTCGCAGACAGAATCCCGATGTGCGAGCGCGCGAGGCAAGGGACATCGCAAGCCATCCATCGTCTAAGAACAAATAAAAGTTGATTTGTGTATATACACACACAGCGTTTTTCACGTCTTTACATGATAATCGACTGGGCGAATTACACGGAAGATTCACAGTTTACCGATGAATCCCTCCGGAGCTTCGCCCATTCATCATCATTCACCCCGTGAATATGCCGTAATTTTTTTCTTTTTTTATTAGCCAGCTATCTTACATGCAATAACTGCAGCCTCCTATCAAGAAACAACCTCCTGTCTTTTGTGCAAGTGTGCCCGTTTAAATGCTCCAAGACAAACTTTCTGATGCACTCAATAGACTGGATAATCACCCGAGACAACTTGTCTCGGAGACAGCCTTTAAGCCATGTCGTATTCTATCATTTGTCTTTTCTTCTCTTGCCGTTTCTTTTGTACATCATTTTTTACTCCCCTTACCCCCTTCGCCCGTAAAAGTTATCCAGCTGGTCTAATAATCGGCTAACCTTCCTGTACTTCTGCTTTTTTCTTCCTTCCTCCATCTTGCGACTCATATGAGTGAAGAAATTTGATGGTAAAGGCTTAATATATGAAAGTGAGCAATTTTGTATACGGGAGCGTGATGGGACGTATTGAAGGCGCTACGCGGCATCTAATGAAAATGCTTAAATCTGGATACCAAGAATATACAATGGCTCTGGGCATCAACGAAATATAAAGAAGGTTATCGACAACTCAAGCAGCATGAGTTGAAGAGCTTGGAAAAGAAGTTACGACGGCCCATACACGCGCAGAGCTTGTCAAGATGAAGGAAGAGAGGGAACTGGAATAAAAAAAAAAAATTGCGCCGTATCTGCATGTTTCACTGCAATATGTAGTCGAAACGCAATAGCTTGCGTGTGGAGAGAGAGAACAAAACGTTTATTTGATGTTCTGTGCAAGAAAATAGGTTAATTGTATTCTGGAAGCGCTGCGTTAGAGAGTCTCGATGCGTGCATCGAGGCACGTTAGACACGAGCGCCATCTGGCAGTTATCTTCGAAAATGAAGGAAGGCGTGCGCGCCCGCGGAGAATGATGCGTAGCCTGTCTCGGAGGTGATAAGGAGTAGAACGCAAAGCGACGGGCAAGGACCATCACTGTGTCCTCTTAGCTAGAGTAACTGTATATGGTCCCCCGTAGGGAACCACATACAGTTACTCTAGTCTTAGCAAAGTGTTGGAAACACTTGCCTTTTTGAGCATCGCGTTTACTGTCAGCGCAGCGTGATAAACGCTACGGTCCTTAGAATTAGTTGCGTGTACCTTCTCTAGTAAAATGCACACATACCCAACATCGACGTGTTGTTATGGTGCCTCAGAAATTCGTAATAATTGCTTTTTAATTGAGATTCACACAAGTATGAACGCTGAAACTTGAGCAATATCGGTGGGTGCTCGGTGACGGGGTTGGCCGTTTGAGGTATCGTTTGTCACTTTGGTGCCATAAAGGGAATCGTTACCGGGAACAGACAATGTGCAGACATACAGGCAGAAAGACAGACACACAGACAGACCAAAATTTCGGCGTCGGAAGGTCCCCAAGAAAGACTATCGCCTTTAAAAGACTATCGTCTTTAATACTGTGTTTGCTACCCTAAGAGTAGATATCTCTGGGACAAGTTGGGGGATTCATTATACTGACAACACCGCAAGATAAAGAGAGAAAAAGAGAGAACTCTATTAAAAAGCATGGAATATAGCCGGCATATGCAAACCGCTGACATGTACTTAGCGTGGTGAAGATTGACAACAGTGCAAGAATTGACAAGAGACTAGGAAGAAATGCAGTGCCTATCTTTGTTTCTACCTCTGCCTCTTCTCTTTTATTGCTCTGTTGTCAGTATAATTGCTACCCTAGACTTGGGGGCAGCAAGCAAAAAGAGCGAGGTGAAATAATGACAGAAGTAGATAATGTAAGAGCGCACATGCAGGCTATCACGGTTATTATTATAGTATACCTGGTAACCCTATATAGACTGGGCTGAACTTGCTGCTCTTAGAAGAATCGTGACAATGGGTTTCGGGTCCTTCGCATGATGTTTTGTGATGTGATTGCTGAAAGTGTGATTTGCTCTGACAACTAGAATACATTAATGAATCTGTGTAGTCCACGTTTCCGCTATGCAAACATATAAATACTTGTGTGCTCTGTTACACCGCATTTTTATGAACGAATGCCATTTGCTTCTGTTTAACTGCGTGCAAAGATCGCCCATAGTGCTACTGACGTTCAGAACTTTTGTCAAGCTTGGATTACTTATTCTGAACAGCTGGCCTCGTGTGCATGATGCGGGAATGCATGAAGTGATTCCGTTCGTGAGTATCTTCCGTGTTATCTGCCCAGATGGCAGTAGCAGCTGCATCCATGCATGTCTAGTTATTCGTTACATTCACAGTGCTTCTACGAAAAACTATTCATTCTGCGTGCTCACCGGCATCGTCACACCGTCATCAGTGCCTTGGAACACAGACGCACGCGCTCTCTCTCGATGATGGGCTCGTAACCGAAAGTGATGGAGTCCTCAAAGCTGCCGGTGGACACCAGACGAACGGCAGTCGTTCCGCACGGAATCCCTATGGCTTTCTTACCTGCCAAAGAAAAGGGAAATGAACTTTGCACCAGAATAATCTACAATCTAGGCTATTGCTAAATCCCTACGCTGCTAAATTCATAGGTACCTTGCCTCTTAGATAAGCATCGTACTAGTGCCATGGTTGTCCCGCCGCAGTGGTCTAGCAGCTAGGGTGCTCGGCTAATGACCCGCAGGTCACGGAAACAAATTCGGACATCGACGACTGCATTTTGATGTAAGTGAAAATGCTGCATAGGGTCATGTGCTCAGAGTTGGGTGCACGGTAAAGAACCTCAGGTGGTCAAAGTTTCCGGAGCCCTCCATACGGCGTCTCTCACAATCATACGGTGGTTTCGGGACGTTAAACCCCACATATCAATCAATCCCAACATGCTCGGATGAGCAATCAGTACCTTCTTTAGAAATATTTTTGAAAAAATCTTTAAAGATATGGATCAAGTGGTCTTGTTAAGTCAAGAATAATGTTAAATAAGTACTATATCGGAGCACAACTGAACTCAAAATATATCAATAAACTGTCAGGATAGGTAATAAAAGTTAATCGTTCAGGTATGAGCCGAAATATTGTGAGCAGCTCAGACAGTGGCGGCATCTGGCAAAGTAAATCTCAACTACGTACGTCTTTCTAAGTGACCTCTAATTCCTCCTCCGCAACGCGCGTAGCCTCGTTAACTCAACAAACGCAAATTGACATATGAACGGTAGAGTGCGGGGCCCCTAATGTTGAAGGAGGTTTGCCCCAATTTTTTATTTATTTTTTATCAGTTATTTATTTATTTATTTACCTGGCCTAAGCTCAGTGGGTAATATGTAGCTCAGTTATGCTCTATGGTGCGGGTTTGAATCCCTTGACATGGTGGGATCATTTAGATGGGGCCGAAGTGCGTATGCACCCGTACACTTGAACTTATGTGCTCAACAAAAAAAAAAAAGAACCTGACGGTCACAATTCTTCCGGTCTCCCAAACGTGCAGGGCTGCATATTCATCTAATATTTTGGGTATAAAATTTCAGAGTGACATATTTAGCAGAAAAAAATCGTTTGAAACATATAATAAATGGAAATTTGCGCCATAATACGTTTCTGCTTATGAGGGAAGTTTAAGTGATTGCACTTTAATGTCACAATAAGCACGCCTTTCACGCCGAGTCAATTTGCATAAATAACCACTCAAACATGAATGAACGTATCTTGCTTCACAGCACATAGATGGATTTTTCGTCTTGTTCTGATGAAGGCATGTGTGTACTGCCTCATCAGGCTAGCATTTGAAAAAAATAATACTATCTTCATAAATTTCTGTGACAGATGTGTCAAGACAACTTCATTTGAGTAAATGTTGCTATACTTTGCTGCGTATGAACACAGAGCGCATGGGCAATTGCAAACGAACGCTCATAACTTATTTTACAGGAGGTGCTTTTAGAAAGGCCTGCAGGTTTCGTTTGCCTCTACATAATTTTATTATCTATCACGTGGGCTACCATTGTAAAAGTCATCGAATAGAACTTTCCCTCCAGGCAAAGTTCATCAGAAATATTTTTTACACGCATCTTTCATCTCTCCGTAACAAAGACTCCTTAGGCATTTCTGTCATGTTTTTTTTTAGATGCGGAGCATCTATTACTCGAGGCTTATAGCGCGGCGCCGTCCGCAAGCTTCCTCCTCCTTCTTCCACCATCTGTGCATCCCTTCCTCCTCTACACACCGCGCGCGCTTCACTCCTCCACCATCTGTGCACCCTTCCTCCTCTACACACCGCGTGCGCTTCTCCTCTTCACGAACACTCGCTAGCTGTATAATGTAGCGCGCATGCGCCGTCACGCTTCGAGAACATCGGCAGCTGACGCGCGCGCATGCGCCGTCGCGCTTCGAGAACATCGGCAGCAGACGCGCGCGCATGCGCCGTTGCGCTTCTCCCCCTTCTCGAACATTCGACAGCTGACAGTGCATGCGCCGTCGCGCTGCATATATACTCAAGGTCGGCGCTCGCTCGCTCAGTTGCCGCTCGTCGGTTGGTTTGTACGGCGCGTCGACGTCCAAGGTCGCGGTGAAATGAATTCCAACGAATCCACAAACACAATGATCGACGTCCCTTCGACCAGCGCCGCCCTTTCGCATACGTGTGTACGTGTTCACTCATTTAACACCCCCTCCTACAACCACGTTAACCAATTTAGCCATCGACCCAAGTAAGTCGCAATTTAACACCCCATTTCACAACCACGTTAACCATTTTAGCCATCGACCCAAGTAAGTCGCACTTTAACACCCCGTTAACCAATTATATGCTCCGCATCTTCCTCAGTGTTCCCCCGAGGGAAGCTGCGGGCAATTTTTTTCGCCGTCCTCTAGTGATATTAGATCGCGAAATAAGTTTCTTTAAGGAACAGTCATACCACACTTATTATGAGGCATCTAGTAAGTCACGGTGCCTACGCATTTCTTTATTAGTACTACGTTCTAGGCAATTTTTACAATAACTTCTTTTCGATGTCACTGACTCTGCATAACTCCGCCTCCACGTACTAGAGCTTGCTGGGTATCCAACGCCCGCCGGCCGCCCCTCAGTGCTATTTTCTAGCGCCTATGCTCACGGACTTATTGCATGCGCCGACACGATCGGCGCTAGTAACGAGGAATGATGAGCGCGAAAATTGAGTTCGGGACTGCCTGCTGCTGTGGCATCGCCTTGGAGACCCAGGGTTGGTTCTTATTTGCTTTTTCTTCTCTGAAAAAAAGTAAAACAAAAATGAAGTTTGTTTGGGTTGCTTCTCTACCGAAGTCTATACGCCGAAAGATTGCGCTCTCACTCAATCTCAAATTGTCAGTTTGTTGTTTCGTCACATGAATCGTAGAAACGCGTCTCATGTAGCTGTTCAATGCGTGCAGATTCGCGGCCTTTCAGCCCGCGTGTGTGCTGCTTGTACCATCACAATATTGTACCTATGCACTATGCCAGCATGTCCGAAAGTTTCGTGAGCGTCACTTTTAAAATGTCAAGCATTTCTTTGCGTAGTGAAATCATTTTGGCATATCTCTATCTATCTATCTATCTATCTATCTATCTATCTATCTATCTATCTATCTATCTATCTATCTATCTATCTATCTATCTATCTATCTATCTATCTATCTATCTATCTATCTATCTATCTATACAATTACGTCTGGGTTCTCTCGTGATCACTGCTTTAACTTGCTGCGAGTTAAAATTAGTATAGGAAGGGTAAGATGGTTTGACTAATAAGAATCGCTGGTCCTGACATAAATAATGTCCCAATTCTGTCGCGTATGTCGTCGAACACTTCCCGCTATAGAGTGGCACATACCCACAGCGGGTATGCCATTGGCATGCAGGTATGTGCCAGTAGTGAGAGAGTATCTACCCTGGAAGGATGGCAACACACATGGGAAATTTTAACGCGTGAGTAATTATAAAAACCTGATATCGGCAGCGTTGACCCGACTAACGCTAAGAATAATTGTTTGAGTCTCAGCAAGAATAGACCTCAAGCATTACGCGTGGCAGTCAAGCATTTTACCACAGAGCCACGCCACGTCTCGAAACTACCTTTAAAATAGGCCCTAATGTTCGTGAAGCGTCACTTGTGGTAGCAGCGCCGTGTAGGGGGGGGGGGGGTTAAAGTTTCATAAACAATATACAGATGCATACTCCTATGGCTCAGCCGTCACGTCGGGTAAACGTGAAACGTATTTAAGTGCCATACGCTGAGGTTCATTGATAGAGCAGTTTCATGGGAAACCATCCTCGCAAGCACAATCACAACGAACTGCTTATATAAACATCTGCAGCTCTTCACACACACACACACACACACCACACACACACACACACACACACACACACACACACACACACACACACACACACACACACACACACACACGCACACGCACACACACACATACGCACACACACACACACACACATACGCACACACACGCACACACATACGCACACACACGCGCACGCACGCACACACACGCGCACGCACGCACGCACGCGCACGCACGCACATGCACGCACACATGCACGCACACGCACGCACATGCACGCACACATGCACGCACACGCACGCACATGCACGCACACACGCACACGCACACACACACGCACACACACACACACACACACACAGCGTGATTTCATAACATCTCGCTCAATAAAAAATCCCCGCTTGCTTCGCATAACGTCGATTACCAAGCTGCGGGGGATCTGCCGAATTTTCGCGGCACTCCAGACGTTTTCTTTATTACTGTTTTTCATAAACAGCCACCGTGAGGAATAATCATCGAATGAATCTTTAATGGCACGGCAATAGAGAGTAATTTAAAAGCAATGGGCTTCTGAGGCGTTTTTTCATGTAGCTGCATATTAAACGAACGTTTATCATGTTCACATCATGTTCTTGTTTAGCCAACCACTCATACTTCCTGGGTGATCTAACCCTGAAGAGGCCTTCTTCATTCATATATAGCGAGGATCTCGTTCTTGCAGACTAGATGCTTTCAGGCAGTATACGAGGTATTGTTGGTCAGCTGCCCAGTCGTAATCAGTTCACGTGTTACGTGACGCCAAATAGGCAGATAAAGAGTGTTCCGCATTCGCCCCAACTGCCATTGGCGTCGCTGACTGGTGCTTTCACGTTTGGTGCACATATATACTCCGTAGAGCGGACCGGGGGATAGCCGCCGTGGTAGCTCAATCGGTAGAGCATCGGACGCACTATTCAAAGGTCGCAGGTTTGGTACCTGCCCACACCAAGTTATCTTTCCGCCCACTTTTCTTTCTTCCCATTTAGGTTACGGTTCCTTCAAATAACATCCCTTATACTTTCCTTGGTATGATTGCTCGAGATCGCAAGTGGGAAGTGTGCAGTTGGGGTGTTCACCAGAAATCCAATGTCCACTTATGGCATATCAATTAAGGGGTAATTGATGTCATGCAGCTGAAGTCACAGGTTTTTGAG